ACATTTTTAGAGTGTGCTGTGTGGTTAATATTACTTCCTTTAAAATACTGCACTATAGAAAACTTGAGTCATTAAGAATAAACTGTGGAAAAGCAAACCATAGATATTGTCTCTATTATTTTGTTTATAAGTTTTTATTTATACTAACTAACTATACTTTCCATAATTATAAAACTTTAGTACATTAAATTACTTTCCTTAGGCAGCAATTTTAAATTAACTCATCAGTTTAGTGCTTGAAAGAGTTGAACTCTTTTGTCATATGAAGGTACGTTTGACCGTAAACAAAAACAACATTTTTTTGGGACGATGGTACCCAGATAACGGTAGAGAAAAAGCCTTAAAAACAGTTAATAACATTATCTTTTAGTAAGATGCAAAATACATTATTTTCCTACTCGTGCTACTTGACTAGCAAGTTTCTTTTGGGAGGTAGAAGATAGCATTTTAATACTAAGACAAACCTCCGTACACTAAATTTCCTTACAAAAAAGAGTTAATATTTAAAACTAAATATAAATAAGTCCGGGTCACATTTTGAAGGAAAAAAAATTGTTAACTGTAAGAATTCCAGCCTCCTAAATTCCCCCCAAGAAATGGCATTAGTGTATAAATGCAGAGCAGCATTTTGGTTTTAAATTAAGACCAATGAAAACAAATTGTTGTTTTTATCCATATAATATATTATGTAGTATAAGTTTATTTGTATTTTGTGCGTAAACATAGGTATATTTATAGCCCTTAATTTTGAGAAATAATCACGTGAGATATCTAATGGTTTATAGTTTATAACAGCCTGTCATTTCTATTCTTCTTGCTATACTTTAGTGTAGGTATCAACGTGTCAACACTTCGCTGAGTTGTAGTTGTCACTTAGTATCATTTATTTCATTCACTTGAGTATGCTTTCAGTGTATTTATTTGGTTTCTTTGAAACTCAGATGCTATTATAAATGAGTTTCATAAATTTACAAAAACTAAAAAAAATAAGTAGTCTTGTGAAATGATTTTGTAAAAACTCATATGTACCTATCGACGTCCGTTATAAATACTAAGACGTTTAATTTGCCTTACAAATAGTAGTATATTTGCGCCTGTAATGACGATTCCTAATAAGTTTCCTTTTTGCCAAGAAATTTATAATTTTCGTACATTAAACGTTTGAAGACAAATGTATTTTATCATTTAGAAAAATAAAGGTATAAGTTTTCGATGTATAGTATTATGTTGATGAATACTAGTTTGCGTGGCATTACATTTATACTTTGCAAGGCTAATGAACGTTTTACTTGGAAACGGGTATTGCTGTAGTCTTAACATACATCTTACTTAATATATTTTATTCTCTAAAATAATTAGTATATTATGTTAAGAGGATGTCACATGTCTATAAGTTTAGTTATGAATATTGACACACGAACCGTCTTATTTTGCTTACAATAGTCGCAGTGTTAACATTTTGGAAATATTTTAAAAATTAGTATGCTCAACACTGGTTATGTGAGCAATAATAATAATTTTTTTTTTTTTAGTTAACTTATTTTTGGTTTTAGTTATCTTAATAATTAATTATTTATAAAAATGTATTGAATCGCAAAAAAAAACGCTGGTGTACGCCTAATAGTATTATTTTTATATGTCACCGGAATTTTAATGTAATTCAATACAACCACAGATAAATAACCACGGATGGTTTTAACTTAACTGAAAAATAATAAATCAATAACATCAAAATAGGCATTAGCTATGAGTTTATTTTCTATCGTTAAAAACGATTGCAGACCAACACTATTAGAGGTTATATGTTTTTAAGAATAATAATTTTAAATTTATTGAATGCTCTTTTACGGTTTAAGCAAAGATGTAAGTTTAAAAATTCGAAAATCGAAATGTCTTCATCTCCACTAAATCTTGTTTGTCGTAAATCTTCGAAGATACCGAACGCTAAAAAACTAATCGCTATTTATAGGTTATAAATTATAGCTAATGTTTTAGCAATAGCCCGCATTGTTCTTAAGTAACGCGCTAGATAGTTTAATATGTGAGCAACGTCACTTTGATGAATGTTCTTTCTCAGAAAACGTAAATACTACTAAAGGGATGTTTAATTTTCTCAAAATTTCTTTATAAAATGCTAGGTAAATTAAAAGCTCTGATAAAACACCTGTCAGAGATATTCCTTTTTATTTAAACATACACGCATACATACACACCTAACTCATATAGATATATAAAAAAAGTCGTTTGTTACAAATCGACGACATCAGTACATTTCTTAACCACGACCACTTAATATCGGCTAACACCTTTTGAGTTCTGAAAGAAACATGTAATTTACAAATTTTGTAATGCGTATTTAAATTTAAACTTATTTGTCTACAGTGAAAGTATTATTCTCTAACTATTTAATTAATAGTATTATTTTTGTGTTTTTATAAAAAAAACTGCATTCTATAATTATCACTACCTAAAGCTATTATGTTATATCAACACTTTTCTAGTCCTGAACCCAAATTGTAGTGAAAATGTGTTTGACATTTACTTTATTAATATGAAGCGATTAAATGTATTGAAACGAAACCTTTTTCAATTACGTTAAAACGGTTTTATCGTTAAGTTTCAAACCTCTTGAAAGACTATATACATAAATAACAAAATATAATGTTTACTGCGTATGTGTTCTGATAAACCTTCAAACAGCATTGTAGGTACTAAAAAAAATATTTACACACTTAATTATTACTTTAAATTAAATTAAATAACATACTATTGTTCTATTAATTTATGAGTCAAGAAGTAAATGATTAGCAGTTAAAATTCGCTAAGTACTTTTTATAGTTATTATTTGAAGAACACTTTAAAAATAATGTTTTTTTTAATGAGCTACGGGAAAAAAGTTAATTAAAAATATTTGAATATCTGTAATTTAAATATGTTTTAAGTGTATATAATAGGTACACAGCATCTCGTACAATTCAGTTTCCTACGTTTTATGAAAACAATAAATAATTAACTTAAGTGATCTTAAACTATCGTTGACATTCGATTGCAACTTATGAACATAAGCATGTCTTTTGAAATATGTTGTCTAGCATTTGTTTTTTCCAGGACCTGTATTTGGTAAATGGTATTTCGACAGGTAATTAGAATATATATTTATTTCAGTTATAATTCCTGTAAACCTATGACCTTTGCGTCCCTACTGTGCTCTTTAACTGTTATGCCCCAACCCCACTATACACAGAAAAAATACACAATTGCAACTACAATTACAGCACAGTCCAACTAAAATTATGGTTAATATAGGGACGCCATACATTTTTAGTTGGAATGACTAAATTATTAGTTAAAGCAATTATACATTTAGTTCGGCCAACTAAATGACAGGTTGGGCCGACTATTTATTTAGGTATTCCAATAAGAAATGTATTGTGAAATTTATTGTGTTTATAATTAACCATAATTTTAAGTTGAACCAACTATTTCCCGTGTGCTTTTTGTATAGATGAAACTATACTTGTCAACATTTCTAATATTGTGAGTATTCATTCGCCGAAATAGTCAATTAAAATGTCCAATTACTTTAAACACTGTCGCACTGCTTAGATTCGTCTAAGAACAATGGCAGACTATTCTTCAACGTTTAAAGATGCAGTTTTATTATTTTAGTATCTGCCAAGAACTGGAATTTTTGTAAGTACCTACATTTGTTTAATAACATGGAGTATCATTGAAACTAATTCCGAGTAGTGTAAGTACTATAATTACTTGCATAACCCGTTAAAATAGCAACGATTCGACTGTGTCTAAATTGAACATATAAACCTTTCGAGTTTTTCCCGATAATAAGTCATTATCTATAGAATACAACAGTAAAAATTGTAAGATCTTGTAATATAAATACAATATGCATAATGCAACCCTAAAAAACACATGACTATAGTGTTTTGAAACTGTGGGACTTTGCCGAAAAATTTGCTGTCCCTATGACCGAAAAACATCATTTTCCTCCATCCGCAGTCTAGTAAAAGTCTGCATTATAGGTTTGTTAAATTTATTTTCACGGTGCGAAATTGTGTCACTACGATGAGTGCCGGGCGTCCTGTAACGATTTCTAAATACACAAAAATATTGATGCGAGTGCCTAATTTTGCTTTTCGTTGTGTGTGTGTTTTTTTTACACGTTAGGGCTGCTATAATTATTATTTTGTTGACGCCTACAAAAAACGTAAATTTGCATTTTTTTTGTTGTCCTCTCTCGTCCGTGTGTTTCGTAAATAGCTGCTGCGTTATTCGGTACCTAATTTACATGCGGGGATTGGAATGCGAGCGTGGGCGGAGGAGGTGCCTTGGAATAATAAAAAAAAAAGAAGTCCGTCGGCAGTGGTAGCGGCCAAGGCGACCCAGATATCGCGGCGACGCGCGAAGGTACGCTGCGGCTTTCGGTCCTGGGCGACCTACGATTCGAGGCGGCGTCCCCCGGCGTCGGGCGGAGCGCTGGACGTCGGGCCACGCCTACGAGCGGATTCGGCGCCGCCGGCGTCCAAAGGGACCGATCGGCCGCACTGAGCGTCCGTCACGCGCCCGAGCTCGATCGCCGCGGTCGACATCACCAGCAAACCGTCATCATTAGTCGTCTCCCCCGCCACTCCGCATAAAAAAACCTTTCCCACGCCGCATTGGAATTAATATTTTATTTATTATTTTTGTCATCGTCAAGCCGAAATCGACGAATCTGCCGAACCGGCGACGATCCCCGGTGACAATATCAACAAACCATACCATAGCGTTTGCACACCGGACCGAGTCATAGCAAGTCAACGATCACAGCAAAAGGGGCCACTCGACCACGTACGTCACGAGGTGCTCTCGTTGAACGACGGCCGGTGCGGGAAACCGGAATTGCCCGGTCAAGTCTGTGCCCGGTCAAGGTGGATACGAACGCGTCTTGCGCGACGGCCGACCAGGTCGGACCGGCTGCTGAACAAGACCGCGGTATCGGCGGCGGCGTGGGAAGGCTGCACGAGGCCATAGCTTCGGTCACGTCGTCCCCGTCAAAAATAGCCACCACCATCAGGGGCTTTTGGCAAACGTCAGCGGGCCCGGCTGCTAGTTCAGTACTCGGTAAGCCCAATAACCTACATGTAATCTTATATACGTTAACGGATTTAGACATAAGACCATATGAACATAGATCTAATAGGTACAATATACTAGTATAAGAAGGTAATCTAAGAAGTGGAATTACTATAATTCCACTTGGTCGAGGGATGAAAGTACCATTTACTAAACTTCACTCGTCTTATATCATCAGTCGCGATCAGTGGTAAAGAGTAAAGGCCGTGGTCTCATAGATTTTTTGGTGGGTGGTGGTCTTCCTCTTAACCGTTGTAGGTAATAAACCATCTGTATTTTATTGTGAACAGTGGCCGAGATGGATATCAGAAGAGAAGTCGTTCTTCCTCTTCCTTTTTTTTTAAAAGGTAGTTGAATGCTATTGAGAATGATATGAGGTCATGTGGACTGCTGGTATGCGAAAGTGATAGGGTAAATTTTGTGGAGTGGAAGCTTAGCGTGGTCGACTCCAAATAATTGGGATGGAGGTGAAGGAGAAAGATTGTAGTGTGTGACTTAAATAAACGTTTTTACCAGCTCAGTTTTAAAAGAAATGTGGTTGTATGTGCAAATTGCACAGCTTTATATAATATAAAAGTTCACCTAGCCTTCGTAGCGACTAGAAAAAGATACTATAATTAACTCTTATGGTGCCAGCGTAATACTTCAACATTTCGACGAGTGCTATAATGTTATACTCGAATACTTAAGCTATAGTTTTTAATAGTTTACATATAAATGTACTAGGTGGGTCAATACCTCAGAAATCAACTTTAAAACGAATGATTTTTTCTGTCATACTATTACTTTGACAATTGTCAAGTATAAATACAATAAATTGGATGTATTTATTATTCCTAACTGCTTAGTAATAGATCATTAATTACTTATTATAACACAACATGTGTGTTATAATAAGAGATTTAGATACAAAATATGATTCATTTGAAATCATTCTTTTTTTTGTAATTCAAGGAGTGGGTGTGAATAACATACATACTGATTATCTATTTATAATATAATATAAACGAATATCTTACTAATGTATATTATACCTTAGTACATTAACATTTGTTTTTAAGAAGTAGAAAGAAAGGACTTGGGTAATTCGTTTTCTCCGAGTACTCCGTTTAATTCTATTTCTACTCGGAGACATCAACAAGCGACAAGAACGTATCATTGTTCGTATTGTTCGTTACCGTTACAAATTATTCGTTATATTGCACATATTTCTACCATTAAATAATTACTAAATTAAACTTAAGATAGAATTAGAGAAGACATATGAATAAAAGCACATAACACAGTTTCTACCGGTATTACGAGTAATACTTTAAAGACTTGTATTTCTTTCACAAACTTTTTGTTGAAATATAAACTTTCAGAAAAAAAAGAAGAACGTTTAAATAAAATAATATAAATTAAACAATAGACAGTTAATAACTCCAAATTGTATAAATCTTCCAGAGGTTTTCAACTCTTTGTACTTCACTTTTATAATAATGCCCAAGAATGATAAATATTTTCAAATATAGTGGCAACCATTCTGAATTGATAGAATTCTATTTTTATCAATATTACAAGTTTATTAAATTCTTTCTGTGTTTAAATTTCATTTTTATTCTGAAATAAACATTAAAAAGCTAGTATTTATTTTTTTACTAAAACATAATAGTTACGTTATACTATCTCCAATAACATTTTTTTTATGTTCAGTATAAAAAACAATAATCTTTTTTTGCGATAACAAGAGTTTATATTGTTATTATACGTGATTAATCCAATAGTAACAGACATTTTTTGTAATGAACATTCTTTTTTTTAATAGTTGAAGTGATTTTTTTATGTTAGATATTTTTACAAGATATTTGCCGGTTGACTAGAATCGGAAATCACTACTGTTTTATCTAAAAATGTCTACGACCAATACAATTGACTGTTGACGCATTCTTCAATTTTTTTTTACAATTCGTGGGATAGTAACCTAATTTTTGATTCGATAAAAAATGAGGGTCAATCCCCGGGATAAGGCGGGTGTCGTAGTGATCACTGGTGGAAAGCACTGTCAAGACCGCGCTTGCATTCGGCTTTAGAAATAAATAGCAGTTGTTCGACGTTGAGGGTTTTTCTCGTGGGTATTTTCCCCTGCCTCTTCTCACGCCAGCAAACTCAATTACTTCCTGTTTCTTGCTGCTCACCCTTTGTTCTGTTTAACGATAATTTTCTTTTTTAGATTCACGGAATGTATTTTTTTTATCCGAGGGCTTACCGACATTGTATTTCTTTGTGTGGTTTCTTGCTTTTTTGTTTTTACCCGTTTTACTTCAACACGTATGTCGACCGAAAAGTTAGATTTCCCCTCGACCGTAAATTATATATATATATATAAATTTTATACTATACGAGTATAGCTATTATATAGATACACACCCAAAACTACAGTAAAAAAAAATGTTCAAGAAATAATTCATTAAGTGTTATGAATAATAATAGTACGAGAAAAATACAGAAAAACCATAAAATAAACTAGTATATTATGACGGTTTGTATAGATTTTATTCTTTACAAAAATAAAAATGTTTAGATATTTAAGCTGTAGTCTATAATAACTACATAAATCGTTATCGGAACAAAGCCTACATCTTATCCGTAAGATGTAGGCTTCGATTGACGATTACCTAACTGTGAGCTTGGATTTAAAAGTTCAGTTTTAGCTGAGACTTTATGTCTCTGCTTAAGGATTAGGTGCATGATATTTTGCTTTCCAATTTACTATATTCGTCAAATAAAACGTTTGATGTCAGTGCTTAGTTCAGTAAAATACTTAACAGTGAAACTTCTTTAGCCCTAAATGTAAATACCACGTTTTTACTTATGCTACGATAAGGCATTATAGATATAACTATTTCGATTCCACTGGCTCTAACTTTAAATTAGCGTATAATGAATTTCAAACATATTACCTAGACAATATTCGATATCACTGAAAGTTTGAATAATTGAGATCATAAATTAGTTTTATACCCTTGTATGTAACACTAGCGAGCATAGGTTTTAGTGATTAAAAACGGAGTATAATACAATTCATTAAAAGTTCGATTTAATGCTTTACAAACAAATATTTCATTACACTCAAATGTTTTTTTAATATTTTACTAATGAATGAAATAAGTTTTGCGCCTCAGTTTGAATAATAAAACGGGTCGTAAAACTCTTATGTGTGTGCACCGTTTTTGTCAATGGGGGGTGGAAATAATGATGTGGAAAGATAGAGTTGAAGTTAAGTGTATACGGTCACGGCATATTCCAAAGAAATTGGACATGCGACAAGGGTTGTAAACCTCTAACCCTCATCGTCTATCCCGTTCTCTTTTCGTGATATTGTTGTTATTACTATGACGAAAAAAGGGGGTTGATTAGGTACGGTTTGTTCCGAGGCCACCACGCCGTCATTAATTGTACAAACAAACCATACGGCGCCGGTGCATGAACACTATTGCTTGAGTACCTAAGCGGTGCCCCATATAATAATATAGTGTCGTCGCAACGTTACACCGTTATCCTTTAACGTAGCTGAATGCTAAACGGATAATAAATTAGTAACTGTATCTTCTAGCGGTAGATGCAATACACTAAAGTACACTTCCATAAGTTACAAATACTTTCAAATAGCAGCTCATTGCATTCTTATGCACCAAGCACAGCCATATTATACAATATACTCTACTTCTTCTTCAAGTTCCTGGAGGTAACTTAGGCCGATTGTTTCAAAATAAACTTCCTTCCACTATACACCCTATTTCCTAACGTATATTTAAATACATCTAATTGTTCCTTGAATATGAAATAAAAATATTCGCCGTATAATATGCGAAATCAAAAACATTGATTTATATTGACTTTCTTCAATTAAAACTAATAAATATAACTACTATATGCGAACTACTATAATTCAAAACAAAAATATTTTCTAAAGCATTGAAATCACACACATGCCAAAGTTAGTATGGTCGTTAATCACAAAGCAGTAGGTAAGGAAATTTTACTCCTGCATATTAAAATATACTGTCAACTAATACCGTAGAAGTACGGTATTAAATTTTAATTTTGACAAAGTCTATTTAACTTTGTAAAAATGAAAAGATGATAACGATTTTTCTTTTCAAATATTTTAAGCTGTATATCAATAATTTAAAACTGAGGCATCTCCTTGATCTCTGAAGTTTGAGTGAAACATGTTTGTTAACACTAAATACATTTTTCTTAATAATGTACATTTTTTAAATTAAATGACTGGTGGTAAGTTAAATAAAATAAAGCTCATAAAGTAAAAAACTTTTTAATATAATAAGTTTGTGATTAAAATTAATACTATATAAAACGATGATGAAATATTGTACAATATATTTTAATACAATTTACTTGGAATAGTAAACTTGGAAAAGTAAGGTTTCAAACTAAAATATCTTACGTTATTCCGTACATCGAGTACAACGTATATTGTAATACCGGTTGCATATAAAAACACAAGAGCAATTTCAAAAAGGAAGTGAAAAGCTTAATTTAGTTTTTTAAATAATTTTAGGAATAAATTATATTGAATTTGTACGCACGACATAAAATATATTTGTTCAATGCGTTTCGTAAAATCCACCCCTTTATTTCACTTTGTATACGTATATAAACATAATATATATAAATAAATGTTCTATACAATTTTTCAGCTCAATACAGAACAGTTTCCATACACACATTTTTTTTTCAATCAAAAAATGTAAATATAATAGGTTCAAATATTAATCAATTTCCCCTATTTAATGATACTAAATAAATATATTTTTTAAAATATGAATTGCACACTTAAATAGGAAAACTATAAAATTTAAATAAACACTCAAACAATTTTTAATAAATATTTTTAGCTTCAATATTATATTATAAATGTAGATTTTTATTGAAGCTCTTATTTTGATTCATAAATACATAATCGTTTTATATATTAGAACATACAATACATATTTTACAGATCGCAGATATGAAATGATAAGTTCACTATTAACAAGAAAACAATTCTAGTATTAGTACGTTTTAAGTGACTTTTGATAAAGTCTACTGTCTAGTGCTACATCCGTTATTGACATTGAACTCCTCTCTAATAGCAAAAAACATAGCATTGAACTCATTTGAATTTGTTGTAATGTCAAATGAATCTACATTGAGCGTTTGTACACCAGGATTATTGACACCCGAACCCTATAAAATGAACCAACCATACTAGGAGGGTTGCTCCCCAATCAATGTGTACTGTGACCGGTTAATTAGCAAATTGCATCATTAAAAATAATGAGACATAGGGTGGTCGGATGTCTTTATAGACTTGGGTAGAATGTTTGTGGGGGACCAGAATAAACACAGGATATATTGCTTGCAAAAATAATGAAATGTAAATAATAATATTGACATAGCTTATACAAATAAATATAAATATATCTGTTTTTTTAGCAATAACCATATTATCAGAATCAGAAAAAGATAAAATAAGTTATTTATTTTAATAATATTAATTAAAATACTATACTATCTTTATTTTTAAACTAATATTATTACGGATAACCTATTTATTTACTATTATAGGTTACTTTGTAGTATTCTTATTGAATATCAATAATAAAAAACCAAATTTCATAATAATTCATTATTTCAAAAATGTTATAAACTTCGAAATTGTTACTCATTAAATTCCTGCTCATCGTTCGTCTAAGCCGTCCAAAATTGTGGAATTTTACAAATATAAAATTATTTTAATGTATGATGTAAAAGTCTAATCATTTATGCAGCCAACGCTTATAATGGTCAGTGATAAAAGAAAGCCAAATATGTACACTCTTCTAAATTATAAGTAAAATTGTCTTTAAAAACATCTGAAAATAAAAAAAGGTATCAACTAAATCATGAATTATCATTAAATTGTTCACGCTGTAACTTAATAATATGTAGCGTTGGGTCGATTTGTTCCGTTTTGAAGCGACGCGTAATTTATTTTTTGAAATGTAAAAGAGTTTTATATCGCCGGGAGGCTAAGCGTGCAAATGACAGACCCTTCAATGACAGTTTTGTTACTTTAAACAAACTCGGACCCTCGGGGTCTAACGTCTTTATTAATTATATCATTCCTTTTATGCCGTAGATTAACACAGGTAACAGTTTAGTAACGTCTTTTCTTTATATGATATTTTGAATAATATAATAGTAATATATGTGATAACGTTAATATTATATTTTCTTTCAAACATAACATTTATAATATTTATAAAATAAAGGGCGGGGTAATGAAATGAGCGATTTTCGTATACAAATACATTGGTGAATCGCTCGTTTCATTGCCCCACCCGTTGTATTATACATGTGTATTCAAGTCTTTCTCACAGCAAAGGTTTCAAGCCATAATATGAATGTGCGTGTTTCGAACTTCCCATGATGGATTTCACACCTTTGCAATGAGATACACTCATTAGTTTTTTTTCCAAATAATATTTTACAAAGTTTTTCTAACGTTTATTTTGTATCTTTTTGTTAAAGGTCTGGGATCAATCATGGTGAGTTCTACTGTCGTTGCATCGGGGGAGATGACCGTGTAATGTAAGTTTACTATAAAGTCAACCATGGAATCAACAGGAAATCCCCTGATACGTGGCTGGGAAGCTATAGGTACTTTTAAAGTACCTTTAATCAATCTTGAAGTAAACGAACTCAAAGAAATACTATGGGAGAAGATCCAAGAACCGGTAATTCAAAGAAGACTGATCCTAGTAATCGTGTCTATAGCACTACTGCTGGACAACATGCTGTACATGGTTATCGTACCTATTATACCAGATTATCTAAGGTATGTGGGAGCCTGGGGAGATATGCCTGTGGGTGTAAATTTCACGGAAGATCCAGTACCGACTATGGATCATCATGGACAAGATTCTGCTACTGGAGTATTGTTCGCATCAAAAGCTATTGTGCAGCTTATGGTGAATCCATTTTCTGGTGCACTTATTGATCGCATTGGCTATGACATTCCGATGATGATTGGTTTATCAATAATGTTTCTGTCCACATCAATATTTGCATGTGGAAGAAGTTATTCTGTTCTCTTTATCGCTAGAAGTCTTCAAGGAGTAGGCTCGGCATTTGCTGACACGTCGGGTTTAGCAATGATTGCAGACAGATTCACTGAAGAAAACGAAAGAGCTCAAGCTTTGGGTATTGCATTAGCGTTCATCAGTTTCGGCTGTCTTGTTGCCCCACCTTTTGGAGGTGCTTTATATCAATTTGCGGGCAAAGAAATACCATTTCTTATTCTAGCGTTTGTCTGCTTAGTCGATGGTCTTATGTTGCTTCTTGTAATGAAACCAATAAAACAACAATTAAAAGAGCAAAAACATTTGAAAAAAGTGCCGACTATTCCGATTTGGAAACTATTTATGGACCCCTATATAGCAGTGTGTTCGGGAGCTTTAATGATGTCTAATGTAGCACTCGCGTTTTTAGAACCTACTATATCCCTGTGGATGGAAGATCACATTACTCACGATAACTGGAAGATGGGAATGATATGGCTACCGGCGTTTTTCCCGCATGTTTTTGGTGTAATACTGACAGTAAAACTATCGAAACTGTACCCCAACTATCAATGGCTGATGGTGGCTGTTGGCTTATCCCTAGAAGGCTTAAGTTGTTTAATAATACCTTTCTCAAGCTCCTACAAAGTTCTAATGATCCCAATATGTGTTATATGTTTTGGGATAGCTTTAGTAGATACCGCCATACTGCCTACTCTTGGATACATAGTAGATGTACGCTATGTTTCTGTTTACGGTAGTATATATGCAATAGCAGACATTTCGTACTCGTTAGCTTACGCTATAGGGCCTATAGTAGCCGGTGAAGTAGTAGAAATGATTGGCTTCACATGGTTAAACATCATCATAGCTGTTTCAAATTTGGCATACGCGCCTGCGTTGATGAGACTGAGAAATATTTATGACTTTAAACCATTCCAAAATGAAGCAAACATTTTAATGGCTGATCCACCTGACAAAGAATATCAGACATATGCCATGCAGGAACAACCGATATCGGTTAACAACGAATATTCAAGGATGAGTGGACAACGGGAAACGGATATTGATGGTCATGTAGCAATCGAAAACGAAAATGCTACATTTCATCAACCTCAAGAGACCAATCCATTTAGGAGACCATCACAATCTACGCAAGATAGAAATCCGTTTAGACAACCTCGTTGAAATTGTTAATTCGGTAAGATAATTTATTTAAACTTAGAAAACGTGGATTCAAAAATATGCATTACCCGAAAACGAGTTAAATGTAATCTTTAAGCAATATTTTGTTATTATAAATTAAACAATATTTATGTTTCCAATTTTTAATGGATAATTCAATAACAATGATTATTATAATTATTGTATCTTTTAAACTTTTAAATAAATGAAACTATTACGTTTAGGCTACTATTTGGAACCAAGCATAGTATTTCGGAAAATAATATTCAAATTAAGGTAACGATCGAATTGTATTCATTTCATTTTAATACTTAGATCTCAGTTAAATATTGTGTCTATCTGTAAGTCACATGACATTGGATATGTTAAAGATAAAAGATATTAAGAAATTAAAAAAAATAAAACAAACACGAACAATGAAACAGTCATAACCTAATTAGTAGGTATCATTATTTAATTAAACTTAAAAAATAATAGTTATCATTGAATTCTGGTTAATAGGAGCTCAATTATAACTTAAAATATATCGATGAAAGAAAGAAGTCAATTGACTAATGATAATGACAAACTATTAGTCTTTAAAGCATTCAATTATTTATTGTAACTCAAACATATCTTTTTAAAAAAAAACTGAGCTTACTTTGTTAGCTTTGTTTTACAGCAAATAAAAATTAGACTAAAATATAAATTTATTATTCGTGCGTATAGCAAGAATATCCTTAGTTATAAATGAAATATCAGTATAACTCTAGTATTAAGTAATTAGTTTAATTATTATTAGTTAAATTATATTTGACCATAAGATATTTTATCTTGGGCGCCCACCAAAACATATCGCACACATATCAATAAATTGTAAGTTGTACATAAATTAGAACTTCTAATTTAGAAGTACTCATTTATTAACATGTATAAACATTTTTTTTTTATTATCATTATTTTGTATACAAGTACATTAAGTTAATTATTATATTATTTACACTTGAACGTGTAAACAACCAAGATCATATACATATCATGAAATAAAGTTCGATACATATCATTGTACGAAATTATATTTATCTTAAGGACTGTAGTATGATAAGTAAATATAGCTTTAAGAATAATGATTAATAGTAGTAAATACAATATTAATGTATGCCGTGAATGGTCGGTGACAACAAAAACCGTATTTTATTGTTGAGGTCCCATTGAATATCAATTGAACTGTGTTATTTTACTTTAAGATTAATCTATATAACTTAGTTAAGCGTTTTATTTTCAGTTATAAACATCGTTCTTATTAGTTAATCCCATAGAATTGTAGTTATTTAATCTTGTATTAGATATTGTTGATGTTTTGTGTAAGTTGTTTTACAAAAACAACCTCTATAATTTATTATGAAATTTATATAATTTCCATACATTTTCGGTTGATTCAAACGAAATATCATTTGTTTAAAATTCAAACTTTAAAACATCGTTACCAAGTTTTTTAGTTGTATTTATTTTTATTTATTAAAACTAAAATATTTATAATTATTGTTTTTTTAACTGTTTTTTAATTATGTTCGATGTTAAACAAATACATGCCAATTAATTAATAGTATATTGATATATTATATTTACTTGAAGCATACACGAATACTAATCATATTATATCTATAATGTAGAGCTACTATATTTCCCATTTCTCTAATATTATAAGGGAAAATATCTTAAATAATTATTATACAAATAATTGTTTTGTTCTTATTACTATTATGGTTTCATAATTTAAAATACTAAACTTTTTTGAGTCCACTAGCTGTAAAATTGGTTAAGACTAAATTACCACGATTTTTAAAATATGTAAAAAACAAATAAAGTAATCATTTGTTCGTAAAAATATTAACAAATATAACTATTATTTTAGTCTATTTGTATACAAATATACTCATAATGTATGTTGCTTCGCCATTTTAAAATTATAAGTGTATTTATTAGATATGGAGAACAGTTAATAATAAAACTTGGTTAAGCTATCGATTTTGGTAAAAAGTGAACATTTTACATTTCGCAACTGGTCAAGTTATATGTAGACTACTATACACTTTTATCTTTGTACAAGTAAAATTACTTTAGTTGTTATTTAATCTTGTTGACATTTATAATCATTTCGTTTAATAAAAATAACAGTTATTAATATAACTATGTGTATTTTTTTATGAATATAATAGTGAATATCAACATAATTACATTATATAGGACATGAATAATACAAGTGGTATACAAGTTTAAATTTCAACCAATTTGACTTGGGTATCACCAAAAATAATTATAAGTACTGTCATGATTTATTAACTAAAGACTTAAGTACTTGCCATAAAGTGTAGTTTAAAAAAAAAAAGGAATAAATAAATAACATTCTAATGAACGGTAATATTTTTAACAAAATGTAAACATACTAGGTGTACCTAATTAGTTTTAATTACAAACAGCTTAATAGGCTAACAGCATAACAGATATACAAATCATGATTTGTCAAATCATGACAAATCATAATTTTATTTGTCATGTCAATATAACTGATGCATATGCAGGTGAATGATTATTCAACAGTACAGCTTCGGACATAATACGAAGTAAACAAGTTTTTATTACATTTTGGCGTGTGCGTTATCCTGTATATATTATTTTATAAACCCCTGACAGACGTATTAAATATTTACGTCCCTTGCACAACAAAAGTCCCCAAGGAAAAGCTTAACGGCGTTTCCATCAGTTCTTTTGAATATTTTAACGTATTCGATCGGTTCTCGGGTAACATTATACAACTGGCTGCTACGTTTTATATATTCGCTCTCACACGTTGAATGCTTTTACTTCTTGAAGCAATCCAAAAGTACGTTCTCCAATGTGCATGGTGGAACGGTCCACTCCCTTCGACTAACATATTATTATGCGCTGTAAATTATTTAGGTCTAAAAAACATATCTTATTATAAAAGCGAAAAAAATAACAAATGTCCTGAAGTTTCAATAGATATTCATCTAGGATTCCTTTCTTCGTTGTTTTGCAACTTCTCGGAATGTCTCTACTGATACCTATACAAATACCTATACTTTTAAGTGTTTTAAATTCATTCAATCGGACAAGTATTATTTTTCGTCCAATTCGAAAATTAGTCATTAAGTGAAAACAGTGATTAAGTTTGGTGTACCGCCTAATACCCAATAATCGGAAGTAGTTCAAACAAACTGGAAACTAGTTATTTGATTAAGTAGATCAAACGTGGATAGTATGTTATTGTGAAAGGGTTACAGACACGTGGATACACATGCAAAGGGAGTCATTACTTTGAGCAATTTGACCCGGGTATGAGGGCATGTAAACCGGAACCAAAACTCAAAACTGAAGAGGTTTCGTTTTTCTTTTAAGAGTGCAGCCGTCGCGACGGCTGATGTTTAGTAAAGAAAAAGATGTAAAAATTCAACGAACACTAAACTATATTGTATGTCAGTTCAAAAGTCTATAGGATTTAATCATCTGATAGTCTCCCCTCGCCCATCATCGACGTCAAAGAAGCATTTCGCATAGGACCAACGTCACCGTCAAACACTTATAGCTCGACCTTTGTACAAGGGTACCTAAGGATAACGAGGAGAGAGTCAGCCGACTTTCAATAACAGTATAGATTTTTTTTTTCAATACGTAGCCCTACGACCCCTTCATACTCACGTGCCTTTCTGTTGATAAATTGTTATTATTGTCATTGAAGTGGGCACTGTAAGTACGACGATTCTTTTAATTGAAATTTTGCAGCTGAAGTGGCTTAAACGTATTCACAGGAAATACTTTTTTGCTGAGCACGAAGACTGAGTGTTCCACTAATAATAATAAAAATTAGTATCACAGTAATATGTACCAACATACCCTTTACAACCAGAATGGGGAGCACCTTCGCAAAATACTAAGAAAAAAACATTGTAGAGCTTTGCCAATTTATTGTTAGTAACTGAATTTTTTAGTTTTTTTAGATTATAATATTATACATAAAAAGTGTAACCGCATTATCATAGTTTGCTAACTACAGAAGATACCGAGAAAAACAGGTTGATTTCGTCAGTTTCCAAATAATTTAATAATTTATATAAAAAATAATCATTATTTACAAAAAAATAAGAATTAGTGACTTCAAAAATACTGCATTTTTCAAATAATATTTTACAAACATTTTAACTCGAATAACCAGTTTTTAAAGAAGTATTGGCTTTTTAATTAACAATGGTAATGTTTTATGTTAGAGACTATCTTATGTAAGCGTATCTTATGTTGAGCCTTTAAGGCCTGTTAAGACTAAAGCTACACGATGATAATGAATTTAAGAATGCAAAAACTAAAGTAAAAATCCGAGTTACTTAAATTTATTTAAAATGTTCGTGTTAACACTTAAATGTAATATATTGACAAATATATGATATTCATTATAAGGACCCTTTTAATTTGTAGTTAAAAAACAGGGTTTGCACGAATGAATACTGTAGAGTGTAGAGTATGGTAGTATTAAATTTACCGCGTAACAATTTTTGATAGATCGAATATTCTAAATAGTTCTAGAAATACTAGAATATTCGAGATATCTATGATTTTTAAAGTTTAGGTTTTTAGTATTTTTTTGATAAATTATTATTTTTAGTGAGTCGTCGAAAATTTAAAAACACTTAAGCACACATAGTTTTACTGTTTACTGTGAAAATTTGATGATTTTACAATGCCAAGTTGCTTTGGTTTTAATTCACACGAGACTATTTTGAAAGAAAAAAGTTTTAATTTTTGTCTATAGAAATGACAATCAATAAAAAAATCCTCATTACTGTCAAAGTACATGGGTCATTTCACCAATAGTGGTACATTCTTGTCCGTGATAAATTATGAGTCATTATCATTATTTTTGTCATCTCATAAAAATTGTCCATTTAAGGTATTCGGATCAACAAAATGTGTCAATCACAATCATTGATATATTACCATAACATAACTAAAAAATTATTTAATAGCCATTTCTTTACACCCTTTGCTTTTTCCAAGGTTATGGCTGACCTTTTAAAGTCATTCCTGTCATAGTGATAGGTCGTTTGAAAAATCGACATTGAAATGGTATGACAGCATTATCTACTTAAGGATGATTTTTAGAAAAATACCATTCAGTCAACAGTAAACTACGAAAGTCAAATTTTAGGTTTGTCCCTCACTATATTGATACCTCACTCCCCTGTTAAGTTTAGAATTTGGCAATTAGTTTAAGATGGCTTGAGAAATAGTTGTTTGCATATAGTAGTGGGCAACCTTTACATTTCCCCCAAAAGCAACCATAGCGTTGACTTTGTCTGGGAAGTAGTTTATTATTATCAACAAAAACGTTGGCATACGGTGAGTTTACGGTAAAAAATACAATTAATCATAAGTCACGTCACGTAAGTAATTTTATCCTAAATGTACATTAAAATAAGCGTTATCAGACAAACGATCCGTTTCATTAATATTCAATTTTTCATTCCCAAAACAACCTAGTTAATCGCATTTTTCATGGAAATTCTCACTCCCCTTGATTTGGGCTTATGGGTTTATAAGGTAAATGTAAAAACAAAAAGTTTCTATGAAGACCTTTATTGGATTTTGAACTTTGAAGAGAAAAAAGAGGATAGTTAGAACATTTTTATTTAAATTTCAAATTTGTTTGCAAAATTTCAGTATTTAAAGTGAACACTTTTTGCGATATGACACGTATACTACATTTTAAGTTTAAAATAAAGATTTTATAAAAAAAAAATCTTTTAGAATTTACTCCTTAATAAGTGGACGTGTAGCGCCCTTTAACGAATTTAAAATTGTAACCAAAAACATCTATACTAACCACTCATTATTTAATACATTAGTTATACTATTATCTATGATCTATTTCAAGACAAGTTTGGAAAACGACATTATCCGTGTTACCCTGTAATACAAGTTGTACGCCATATATAAACAGACCAACCGCAATAATATTGCACACGCTATTATAAAGGACCTAAATCAATGCCAGAATTTAGATTAATAAAATGGTGCCGTGCGGCGGGGGTCGTGGAAAGCGTTGATCCAGGCGGTGACACGGGATGGAACACTTGGCGGGGGGTTGATGAATAGCGTGGTAGAGCCCGTTCCCCTTTCTCTGCCCCTCATGGTAATCCTAGTGCGATGTTGTATGTGCAAGAACGGGACGGTGGGCCACCACGGTTAGCTTTGCAGCACGCGTTTTGGATTAACAGGGGATTTACTCTGTGGCAGCACGGACACCAGTCTACCAGTGAGCTCTGCACCACATACTTGCGTCACCAATTCTTGGGCACAAAAAGAGCTTGAACAATGAAATAATCATATTAAAAGAAACCTTTCCAGGCTACTTATTTGTTCAATAAGGTTTGTGACAGATACCATAGCTTCTGTGTATCTAATATAATAGTACAGTACCTAATGCCACGGTGGATGTTGAGCGGTACGAACAGCAGTTAAATAGAACCGTTTCTCTCATTTTTGCAATCTACTACTTTGAGTATTACTAGGGTTTTCGAAAAATAATAGCACGGGTCAACGCGAAGGACACAAAGCCGAAAGGATAACATAAAGAATGCAATCACATATCTGTCATAGGTTTTTATGAATTCGTAGGGTATCAGGGTACATCTTATTCGTGTTCAACAATGTGTACTTATTCTTTTACACTTATTGAACAAAATGGTAAGAATAATGTACAATCTCCCCTATTTCAGTTTTCTTTGGTTTGATTTTATAACAAATGTTATAATAAATTAATGATGATACGAGTATTTTAATGCAATATATAACTTTGTAGTTATTCGAATCTTACATATTTTAAATATGAACGTATCCTAATACTATTTTGACTTTTAAAAAAAATGTTGATTTGAAACCCATTTATTAAAAAATTATGTTTATTTGTCTGCATCTTATGTTTAGTTTAAATGTCGGGATTAAAATTAAAAAACGCCCATTTCAATAAAAAAACAATTGGGTATTGCGACAGTCTTTTGGGTTACACTAAAAATCTAAAAATATTTGCGATTTCAAACGATTTCCATCTTAATATTATATTACATTAATGTATGCTTGTATTTAATTGATGTATATTCCACGGGTCACAGTACATC